AACCCCGTATTATTGAGTCCAGGGAGCGTGAGTGTTCTCATTTTAATGCTAAACTCTTCTCTGGTCTAATTCTACTCTGGACAGTACTTCTACAATCAACAAGGTATATAATCATCAGCTTTACAGATCAAAGATTAGATACACCAACTATCCTAGGGGTGTACCAGATTCAAAATACTCACAGTCTTGCATTCAAAGGCCATAGAGAGGCCAGTGTTATGGACCAGCACTTATGCCACGAACCAAACAACCAGTCAGATTTCTTACTTCATTTATTTATGGTCATCAGTTCTTCCATATCTTGGATATATTTCCCACCCTTCAAGTAGTTCTCTCCTGCACTTTGTCTGAAGGCACTCTAGTAATGTGGTCCTTACTGTTTCTAGTGTTTGGTTTCAAAGGGACTAATTTAACTATCAAAAGCAGTTGCTTAAAGTTCTTGTAGGAGGTTCTCTTAGGCCATTGACCTAGATGGATGAAGCAGAAACATGCAAATGGCATTGCTTGGTTAAAATCCAAGATGTGGTTCCTTGGGGTCATGCTAGAAAATGCAGATGCAACAGGGGATCTTTCAGACACTGTGATTAAAGAAACACCAAGAGATGCAATCTCTTAAAGGAAGTTTCACCACTTCTTCTCAGCCTGGTAAGACTGAGACAGGAGAGAGCGGGATACGTGGCTTGTCCACGTGTCTGGTAGAACTTCTCAGTTCCCTAGCTTCACTGGTGGCTTCAGCAAAACTCTGAAGTTCACCATGCTAATGCTGTTTTGGGGTTCATTGGAGGATGGCAATCCTCTTATTTTCTATTGGACACTTACCAAGACTCACAGATTTCTGGTCTTATTTTCTCTGCTGCTTCCGTCACTATCTAGTAGATGGCGATGGTGCATCATCATTCTCTGTCATTCTTCGCTTATCTGAGGCTCTTTATGCTTTAGTCATTTCTGACACTGCATTTCTGTATTAAACCAGCCTAATAATTGGGTCCCTCCACCCTTTTAAAGCAATTTCTTTAAATGTTTCAAAGTCTCACACACGATTGGTGTCTCTGCCTTTCAATATTAATTTTTCTTCTTGGGCCAGACAATTCCTATCACTTCCAAGGGGGCAACAATCAGTTTGAAAGAAAACATTCACAATCTGGTATAGTTCCTCTAAACGTAGTGTACATGGGGCCAGATTTTAAAAGGTATTTAGTTGCCTGAAGGTGGAGGGTGATGCCTAGCTTGGTGCTACTGTGGTGGGAGCCATGGTTTGACCAAGACTCAGCTCAGAGCTCGGCCCCTTGATCCTTCTCAACTGCCCCCCTCCCTCCCAGTGTGGGTGTGACCTGGGGAGAGGGACGTGGGTCAGGGTGACCAGATTTCCCCTCCCCCCCCGCCGTCTGTGACAGCGCTGCTTCCCACAGACACCTGGATTGAGAGCAGGGACATAAAGACATTAGGAAAGTATACCAAATGATCATTATAAATAGCTTACAAAGCCATGTTACATAGGCTAGAGCTTTGAAATGCAAACCTGTATTGTTAGAGAATTAGTGGTAAATACTAATTGCGTTTGTGTGTTTACCTATATCTTGTTAAAGGTTAACAATGTTACCAGAAGGTTCCTGTCTGTTACTATATTCTATTGAGTCAGAGATTACAAGGGAATATTAACATTAAGATGAAACTTGGGTGTAAGAATATCATTGTCTATATTTCTCTTTGAAGTTTGTAGTAAATCATCTATGAACTGCTTAATGGAGAATTACCTTATGCTGATGTATGCAACTAATTGCCTGCGTACACATAGTAAATAGGAGGTTTTTCTTCAAAGCCACAATGATCACCTACTATCACCCAAGGAATACCTGCTGTCAAGAGCCTTCCAGAGATCTATAAAAAGGATGTGATCCTGTTATCTGAGACCTTCTCAAGCTTTGTCAGGGGAAGTTTGAGTTGCAAGGCTGAGGTCTCCAGCTCCCGTCTGGATCATCCTGATATTGGCCATGAACTGCCTATGTGAACTATAACCGATGAACTAATTCTGAAAGAACTTTTTGCAACTCTAAAGCTCAACATCTCTACTATGATATTGACCTAAGGGCTCTGTTCATATCTGTAAGTGTAACGATCTTTTAACCAATGCTCTCTCTCTTTTCTTTTTTAATAAATCTTAGTGTAGTTAGTATGAACTGGATGTAAGTGTGTATATGGGTAAGATCTGAAATATTTGTTGATGTGGTGGGTGATGTGTCCAATCCTTTGGGTTTGGTAGACATTTATATATGATTAACAAGATTATTAATAATGTCATCATATTTGACATGGCTGGTTGGGTGGGAGCCCAGGGCTGGGGTGCTTTAAGGGAGCTGTGTTTGGCTTCTAGGTAACTAGTAAGGTATCGTAGAAGCCGTTTTGTTGCAGGCTTGGTGAATCTAAGTATTAGAATAACCACCAGTTTTGGGGATCGTCTGCCCCATTCTTTGCAGTTTGCTCCAATCGAGAAATCTCAGTATGCCCTCCCGCCCAGGCACTAACATCAGAGTATAAAAGGGGGGTCACAGAGGGGGTGTCTTTGTCTGGTTGAGGGGGGAGTGGAAAGTCCCCCAGACACATACTGTGCTGAGCCCATTGTCACGGGCGCACATGAGTTCATGTACCTGTAGCACATAAAGGGCACTAATACTGTGCTTTGTGGGCAATAAACCTGGCTGAGCACCTTCGCCACTGAACCGAGTCTGTGGTCTTCTTGGGTAGTTTGATTGAAGTCTCCTGTATGGGATACCTGGCCATATGCAGCAGACAAGGAGAAAACACATGCAGCTGACAACACTGGTGACCCTGACCGCTGATCTGGTAAGTAGGTGAATTGTCCTCTGCAGGAATCGTGATCTAATATGGCAGAAAGCTAAGAGCTAGGGAACTCACTTATCCCCTCCCTGAAATTCCCCATGGAGTTTGATGAGATATGGATGCACTGGGTTGCCAGCAAAGGACGTCCATATGAATTTATGAAAGATAGTGGGGAAGAAACATAGAACTGAATCTGTATAGCTAGGGCAGAGACGGTAGCCTTGGAAAATAAGAGTAAATTCTGATTGGAGGGAAATGTCATGGCTGACTTGACTGGTTATTTGTTTATTTCTCTGGAACATTAGAAGCTCTCTGTCCATCTTTCCTCTGCAATATCCAGCTGTCTCTCTTCTTATCTGCCACATCCCTCCATCAATCCCTCCATCCATCCTGTATCAACATCTATCCATCATCAATCCATCCATCCTTCCGCAATATCAATCTCTCCATACATGCTTATTCAATATCCATCTGTCTTCTTATCTACTATGTCCATCCATTCATCGTTCCCCAGTATCTATTCCTGATCATCCATCTTTCTTCATTATCAATCTGTCTATCCTCTTGCAATATCCATCCATCCATCTATCCATCTATCCAGCCATCCTTCTAGAATACCCATCCATCCATTCTTCTGTATTATCCATCCATCTATCCATCCTTCTATCTTCTTATCTGCCGTGTCCATCCATCCATCATTCTGCAGTATCTATCCATCATCTGTCCATCCATCCTTCTGCAATATCTATAAGTCTTCTCATCTACCTTTTCTATCCATCCATTCACAATATCCATCCATCCAGCTCTCCATCCACCCTTCCAAAATAGCCATCCATCTGTTGCCTTTTATTTTATTTAAACTGAATTTTGTAGTGTGGTATTACAACACCGCGGGTTCGGCTCTAGTAGCTACAGTTTCAAGCTCACAGAGTGAAAGTCACCTCTGCTACTTGCTTCAGATTTAGAGTCTCTATGAACACATAAGGACCAAGGGTCGTGACCACACATACATTGACAAGGACAAGATTCAGTCTATTTTAAACATTTTATTAAAGTTACAGTTAAAGTTATGATTACCCAAGCATATAGAAATCCTATAAAGACCTATGCACAAGCTTCAAATATAGATATACTCACATCCTTAAGGATATTCTTAAGGTGTGATGGCTGCCTGGCCAATTGATTGCCAGTAAAGGGATGGTTTCTGCTCGGGTTTCCCATAGGGAGCTCAATTTTCCTAATCTGGGCACCCTCTTTTTATAATATGATTCTGACCAGAGCCATCCCGTCCATAGGAGGGACGCTTTGTGGGGCCCCGCACTTCGGGACATGGGGTCCAGGGCGGCCTGGGGGGTTTGCAGGGGGCCTGGCACTGGCAACAGCAAGCAACCAATCTCCAGCCTGCCCAGCTCCGCTCTGCCCCGCTGGCTCCCCGCGTCACTCAGGGGAGGGGGCGGAAACCAGAAAGAGGCAGGGCAGCGGCTTGGGGAAGGGGTGAAATGGGTGCAGGGAGGGTGCGGAGCAGGGGTGGGAAGAGGCAGGGTGGGGGCGGGGTGTTGGGGGAAGGGGTGGAGTGGGGGTGGGACCTGAGCTGGAGGGGTGGAGTTGTCTCGGGCCCCACACCCCCCTAGGGACGATTCTGACTATACCTCATTAGCATTTACACACATTGTGCACCCTGCAGTTAGGGCGTGTGTTAGGAAAATGTGACTACCGGTAACGTGTAAGCAAAAAATTACTCTTGCTCTTAATTTTTCACAATATCACCCGTGGATATATCTTTCCCTGTAATCTTGTGGGATAGGGTCATTTTTGGTCGCTTACTCATGCCAAACATTTCTTAAGGCTATGGCCTAGTATGGCTAAACTAAAATTTTACAGGCTGTAGACCTTGCGTTTGAGCCCTCCTTACTTAGACACCTAATACCTAATTTTACCTTCTAACTACTGATCAATCCTATACTTCTATAATCCTACAACTTTACTCTATTCAGCATACAGAGATTATATATGACATAACATGTTAGTTAATCATAATGTCACACAATAAAAGAGTAATAAATTAAAATCATTGGCTACACATCCATCCATCCATCCATCTGCAATATATCACCATGTATATCTCCAGTCAGGCTGGAGGAAATGGACGCTCCTCTCTAAAACTACAGCTTTTGCAGAGTTTTCTTGATCCAGCACATGTATTTGGAGAGCCTGGTAAACACACTGGGAGTTGACCCGTCACCGCTGCCATGGGAGACAATGCCTGTGGCCTTCCCATCACAGACCAGGGGGCCCCCAGAGTCGCCCTGAGAAGCAAACACCAGGCATGGGGTTATTGATGTCCAAGCAAAGGGCAGGCTGCATTCTCTATTCACGGTCCTGAAATCCAGCGCTGTACTGCAGTTCCTCGGGAATCATGATCAAGTCACTCCCAGGATGTGCCCAGGGCTCCCACTCCAAAGTCCAGGGATGCAGCCGACCCCTGTCCCTGATTTCTCAGATCTGCCCAGTTCCAGTGTCTGATTTCTAGCATCCATCCCCAATTTCTTTAACCTGCTCAGTTTCCATCCCTCATTCTGAATCCTGATTTCTAGCATCTGGTTGACTCCTGCCCTTGATTACTAGGAATTCCTGCTGATTTCTCAGATCCACCCCTGGGTTCTTCATTCACTAATTCCCATCATCTCTCTCCTAGGATCCAGCTGATTCCCAAACCTGATTTCTAGGATCTGTCCCTCACTATTAAGATCCTTCCCTGTTTTCCAGGATATGCCTGGTTTTTGTCCTTGATTTGTATGATCTAGCCAGTTCCTGTCCCAAATTATTAGGATCCATTCCTCATTTGAAAGATCTGCCTGGTTCTTGTCCCTGATTTCCAGATTCCATTCCTGATTCCTAGGATCTGGCCAGTTCCAGTTCCTGATTGCCAGGATCTGTCTGGCTCACCATGGATCCTGACTCTCCCCATTCTGCCCAGCCCTGTTAGTCTCCTATTCTAGCAGCACCTTGCCCCAGGTGCCGCGTGCCTCTGTCCCACACTCACCTGGAATGGCGACTTCCTCCCCTGGGGGCCCCCCACGCACAGCATCCTGGATGGGACATAGTGCAGGGAGGGCCGAGACAGACACATTTTCTTGCCCATAACCGTCAGTTCCACCTCCTGCAGGGTCGGAGAGGGCTTGTCATTTGTTTTGTAACTGGTCTGACCCCAGCCAGCCACGCTGCACACTGCCCCCTTCTTCACCTTCTTCTGGGACAGGGAGATGGTGCCCACAGTCTGGGTCAGCTTGGCCTTGTCCCTCAGCTGTGATGGGAGAGAAGGGAAATCAAACTCCTCGTGGGGGCTGCATCCTGTCCTGGGGGAATGGGACCAGGTGGGGCATCCCCATGACAACTGTGCTGCCACATGCCCACTGGGGTGGGGTGATGAGAGTAGGTGGCACCTGCAGCAGTTTGAGATCACTGTGGGCCAGGGTGATGGGATGGGGCAGTACCTGCAGCAGTGT